TCAAAGCAAGCTGCCTCGAGGTCTACCCACTATCCTTTAATCAGAATCAGAGCCCGGCGTTTGGACGCCACCACAACCCCTGCAAAAGAAGCAGACCAACTTTTGCAACAATCATAGAATTTGTCAACTTTTGCTCCGCATTAACATCACGCATTTTGTGGTGCATCGCGCTGTCCGATGACTGACCTTCGAGTGCTCACTCGAATCGGGTATTAGGAATGAAAAATATAGCCATCCGTTCAAAACACAAGCGTGCGACTGTCATAGTAGATAGAGTTGAATATGTTGAAAGGGGAACTCCAGCCGTTTTTTGAGCTACCTATACGAATTGCATTTTCACACTACCCGGACTTCAGTCGTTATGGTATGCTATTTATTTTCTCGAAATTCAAAATATCAATTGAGAAAACCGTAAATGAAGATGATGCTGAAACCAGCATTCAAATTTTCGCGCGCTCCTCAGTGGTGTGACGTCACATATGGTACAGACTTTCAGGTCGTGAATGTAGTCTTAAACAGAGTATGCCGAGGGTTTTTTGCGTGCTTCTCAGTGAATCAATTACCAAACATTATTTTCCCGCCATCAAACGCCTTATAATCAGTTGGGAACATGGCTTACTGCCCACTTTATACCATTTCTGTCGTCACACTTGAATGTTGCCAGTAGGGGCTCCCGGTTTGAGAAACACGTTGAAAACGAAATTCGAAAGTTCAATAACTTCGCGATTTTTTTTTTCCTTTTCAGAGAATACTTGGGTAACTCGTAGAGCCATGTCTATCGGTCTGTTGAGCCAATTTTGAGGCAAATCAGCCACCATGAAAAAATCGCCGGAGTTTAACTTATTTGTGAACGTGACGGGTATATCTGAAGATTCAATTCAGTATCACTTTACTTCCCAGGCGTTTAGCAAATATTTATGGTCCACGGAATTTCCCTGGATAAAGATAAGGGCTAGAAGTGCTTGTTGGCCGTTTACTTTGCGCAGGGCTTTCTAGGCACGTTAGAGCTCATTTCCCAAGTAACCGCGCAATTAGAATTTTAGTACAAGAATATGATCACTGCATGGTAATTCGATCGACTCCTTCCATAGTTTGGAATAATTTTCAATACAGGCGCCCTGCGGGAAAAGCAGATGTGAGCCTCGTTTATTAAGAGTAAGCAGAATACGAAAGTAACTACTCTCTGAGAGCTTCGCAGGCACAGGGCGCGGCTACTTATTTCTCATTTTCGATTGTTGTTATCGGGCAATGCCGCCATCTCAGGGTCTGAGCAGTGAAATTGATTGGGGGTTGGCCACACCTTCTTATATTTTCACTGATTATACTAAGTAAACCTGTCCCAGCGGCTGCAGTCCCCGAAACACCCCAATGACTCGCTAGCAATAAGCCTGGGTACAACGGCACATCACCAGAGGGAGATTCCTTGCCGCCGCCCCGAACAAGAGCGACGAAATACAGTATTTCTCTCTGGAAACCAGTGCAACTGATGAAATGCGCGCAGCTCGGATATCTCGTCGTGCTCGCAAGCGCGTTCACCATTTTGCAGCTCCTGTTTACCGAGCAAAGCCTTCCCCTGTTTGCCCCAACCCTTTGCCCCGGCGCTCGCACCGCCTTTTCGGTCTTTCCCGTTCTATTGATTTTGTATTACTTCCCCGGAACACGACGACGAACCCGCCAACTATGCCGGTCCGTATACATATCCGCATACGATGAAAACTCTGCCGCGTACCCCCTCTTTTCCGCGCTTGCCAACCAATTAGCCTGTTTCGGCAAGCGTTTGTTTTTTCTCCTTCCACCATCTGTCCTTCTGGGCGTTGAAGGTTTCGGCGCCCGACTCTCTCGTGATTTTGTGCTTCGTTTCTGTTTTCGCTCTTTTTGCTTGGCAAATACGCCGACGCATAGCGCTTCAACTATATGCAAGGTCGACGGTCGTTGCTAGTGCAAGACCTCCAAATTTAGTTAGTGAAAAGAGTGCTGTGTCAACTTGGGCGAGCGCCCGAGGGGTGGTCCCTTTCCTGGCTGAGCCGCCCTGTTGCCTTCGTGCAGCTTCTCCGCGTATATAGCGTTCATTTTAAACGCTTCATCTTCAGCAAACAAAACATTTGAGCGGCCGTCAGATGCTTTATTTTGTGATTTCGAAGTCGCGATGAATTTAAGCGTTTCGGAGGCTGTGACGCTGCCAATGACGATGCATCAAAGCTCGCGTGAAATAACACAGACGGGTAGTTTCCTGGAGTCTTACCTTCCGGACAAACGTTTTGGGTGTGGCATGAGTTAATTGGACCGTAACGAATGCCGGACTCGAAGAGAATAGATCTCCACTTCAGAAACGATGTGGTTTTGCTTTGTCAGCAGACAGGTGCCAGTCAGGGTGTAAATGGTGTGCAACCTTCGTAACATGATCGGTGTTACGGTTATAAGATGGAAGCTTGTGGAGGCAAACTAGGTCGGGCCTCTTTCCTCCCGTGTGTAATTATCCAATTCAGACGTGACTGACACATTGGTTTAACGCGTGTTCCTGAGACTTAGGACACCATTCTGTTATACTCCTGGAGATCCGACAAAGCGGATTGTTTTTCTTCGAGAGATAATTATTTTGTTTGTTTTGATAGGGTTTTGTGAATAGCGGTTTGAATTGACTAGCGCTCTGCAACTCATAGCATTGACCAGTGCTAGAGAAACCTAAGTCATACCGGCTCTCTTTGCAGCGTTAAAGCGACGGCAATGCTGCGCTTTTCGATCCCAAGCATTGTTCGCGCATCCGTGCACCTGAAGTACCACCGCGATCAACGAACGGAGCGGAACCAATGAGAAAATTTAAAAATAATATATTTCTATAAAATATGAAAAAATATATATTTATATATAAATATACAGGGTGTCTTTTTTATTCTTACTCATTTGTTTAAAAAAAAGCGTGAAAGCTACACTAATGCGGTTTGTGAAGTTCGGTTATACGGCCAGGCGGACATTATGTGGGTGGCTAATCTTTGCGATGAGTCGGCAAATTAACTAAAATTCGTTAATTAACTATTTAATTAGTGAAAATAGACATATAGTTCTAATTAGAAACTTGCTGTGCATCATCGAAAACCCTTATATCAACTATTTTTAGCAGGATAGAACGCCGGGGCAGCATTTTACGGCGTTCTCTCAAAGCGCTTCATTTGGACGCGTTTCTACAGGGTAAAACAAGGAGACGGCAGGCTCTTTAAATCGACCGCAAAATTCGGTTTCTTAACCTATCACGCGACGACTTTCTGCAGCGTTGCCCACAGATGGTGCATTTTTTCGTAAAATTTGCAAATAGCGAACTCACCTGAGGAAAAAGTAAAGAAAGAAAAAGGCTTAGCTCCTATGGAAACGCAACGAAGCCACCGGTCTGCAAACAACACGGCGCCGTTTAGCACGGGAGACAAGAGATGGCGCAAGCGGTGGCGACGCCAACTGCCGCCAACGAACGAGCAGACGACGGCGTGAGCCGGCGTATTTTAGCAGACAAGGAACTGCAGTTCCTTGTTGTTACCGCGCCTGATTCTGTTTCTGCGACTGTCGCCGCCTGCGGAACGCGCGCCGCTTTTGAGTCGAAAAGATCGTCTGCTAAAAACGCCGGCTCTCGGTGCCGTATGCTCGTCAGTTGGAGGCGTTCGTTGCGCCATCTCTTGTCTCCCGTGCGAAACGGCGCCGTGTTGTTTGCAGACTGGTGGCGTCGCTGCGTTTCCATAGGAGCTAAGCCATTTTCTTTCTTTACTTTTTCCTCAGGTAAGTTCGCTTTTTGCAAATTTTTCAATAAAAATGCACCATCTGTGGGCAACGCTGCACAAAGTCGTAGCCTGATAGGTTAAGAAACCGAATATTGCGGTCGATTTAAAGAGCCTGCCGTCTCCGTGTTTCACCCTGTAGATTTCGGTTTCTTATCGGAACGCATCTTTGCGCCCGCGGTCCTGCTCCCTGGTGGTCGCGGCGCGAAACCACCCCTTCGCCTCCCTTGTACAATGGAGGGAAGTAGGGCGCACGTGTGTTGCGCGTCTCGGCCACTGGGGAGCAGGACCGCGGGCGCGGTGACGCGGTCCGATAACAAACCGAAATCTAGAAACGCGTCCAAATGGAACGCTTTTACAGAACGCCGCAAAATGCTTCCCCGGCGTTATATCCTTCCAAAAATAGTTGATTTAGTGGTTTTCGGTGATGTTCTACAAGTTTATAATTAAAACCATACGTTTAGCTTCTATAATTAAAATTTTAATTAACGAATTTTAATTAATTAACCGACTTATCGCAAAGATTAGCCACCCCCATAATGTCCACCTGGCCGTATAGCCCTAGTTGAGTGTTCCGGTTGATCATCATCGCCCTAGCTGAGTGTACCGGTTGACGACGTTAGATCTCAAAACAAAACGTTAGCCAGGCCAGTGCGTACCCGCGTCCCCCCTCACGTCAAACAGCTGCGCGTACCGGTTGACGTTAGACCTCAAAACGTAACATTCGGCCTAACGTTAGGCCTAACGTTAGTCCTAACGTCAGGCCAATGCATGCCCGCGTCCCCCCCCCCCCCCCCCCCTCACGTCAAGCACCTGTGCGTACCGGTTGACGATGTTAGACCTCAAAGCGTAGGCCTAGCTTTAGGCCTAACGTCAGGCTATCATACCCCCCCCCCCCTTCCCGCTGCGCCGCCAGCAGTTCGCAACGTTCATAGACACACTTCAGAGACCGGATTCTCAAAAAACATCTTATCTTACGAAATCTTAGTCAAGAAGTTCGTGACTTATGACGTTCGTAAGATCAGCCGAAATCGGTATGCTCGAAAGGCTTCTTAGCGTGTTCTTAGCTGCGAACTGGGGAACGACCAGGGAACGACAGAAGGCGCGAGAGGAGCGAGAGAAAGAGAAGCTTCCGGTATCTCGTAACCGACGAGAACAAGCGAGAGGGGTATGTTGCTATGGCGATTCTGACGACAATAGCACGTTTGGTTTGATAGTACCGCGTGTAGTTGAGATCTCATGGCGTCTCCACCACCTGTCAAAAAGAGCCGAAAGGCCAATTTTTCGGACAACGAGCTGTCGGCTCTGGTAGATGGATACGAGCAGCGCAAAGTGGCGATTGAGGGAAAAGGAAACAGCGCGCATGGCTCGATTGCCAAGCAGCGGGCTTGGGAACAAATTACTCGCGATGTGTTCGCAGTTTCCGGCATCCGAAGGGACGTGGCCGACATAAAAAAGAAATGGGCCGATGTCAAGAGCATCAACAAAAAGCGAGGTAAGTCAATCCTCAAGTTTTGGAGTTCACGAACTTAAATGATACGATATGCTTTTTACTAATGTAAAAGGCAAAATGTTCGGCGCTAGCGCTGAGTCGACGCACGAGCACATTTTACTCATTCACAATAGTGCTTTTAATAATGTTGACATTAGACGCGCTAGCGGAGATGACTTAGCTAGATGCGGTCTTTTGCCAACATTTATTTTATGCTGTCATACACTGCAGAAGGTTCCCGGCTTCTGTCAGCAACGAAGGACGTTTTAGCAAGCGTGTAGTGACAACCAACAGTGTTAAACCAGTTCAATTTTGCTCGAGATATTAGCTGGTGTTCGACACAGAAAAATGTCGCAAAGTTTGAGGTCATCCTTACGCACGTTCGAAAGACGTACCTGTTGTCCAAAAACCTTGGCTAGGCAATGAAAACCGGTGATCGAGCAGTCGCGCTTACAGCAGCCTGCTTTGTCTGCTACGTTATTTAATACTGACACAATACGCAGGTGTAGCCGTGAAAAAAAGTCAGTGTGCCACTGGAGGCGGCGTAGGCGACGAGCCCCTCAACGAGATGGAGGGGAGAATCGTGGGGCTGCTCAACGTGGAGTCTGTGGAGGGCATCCCAGGCGCCTTTGACATTGGCGTTGCCCCGATTCAAGAGGTGTTTGTGGGTGTGCCATTCTCCCTGCCCCTCTCGGGTAGGTTTGCACCAAGCCTGGATTAAACACTACCTTTCTTCATTAATGGTTTGCCTAGAATTATGGTGTCAAAACATTATTAGCAGCCTAGCATGTGCGTGTCACGTTTGTTGCTTTTCTTGGTCAGACTAATCTTTAAATACAAATTTTCAAGGTACTCCTGCCAGGCCGAGCTCAGCAAAGCCAGTTCCCTCAGTTGGTGAGTTAGCAAGGGTTCTACTTCATTGCAAAATATAAAATAATAGCGCCGTCCAAGCAAACTACCAGTTAATTTGTATGTACCCACTAGTATGTACCTGTCACGTTTGTTGCTTTTCTTGGTCAAACTAATCTTTAAATACAGATTTTTAAGGTACTCCTGCCAGGCCGAGCTCAGCAAGGCCAGTTCCCTCACTTGGTGAGTTAATAATGTGGGCTGATTAGTTGCATGGTTAATGTTCCTCTTCATTACTGCTCTTCAAACAATCCCCATAACTTCCAGTTTTGAATTATCGATCGGATATCTGATTATCCAAGTGATTTGGACTGGGACCCACATTGTATGGACAAGCAGTACCTAACTGTCTTCCCAAACGCTGTTTGCTGGATCCGTACAGTGCATTTCTGGATCTTGTTTAAGACACCACCATAACCGCAGGCAGGTCCACGGTTTTCTACCATAGCAATCATAACATTACTTATAATGGTTATAATTACATTACCTAATCACAACCTTTTCGGTCATTCAACCTGGTTGGTAGTCAACCAATACGGTGGCCGCCAGGTACAGGTGTTGCTGGTTGAGCAATCAAGCTTAGTTGGTACAACTTCCTGCAATCTCTCAGTCCTGTGTTAGTGAGCATTTTTTTCAGGCAGAGCCTGTATTTCCTAACAGAAAATATTTCGGTACTCAAGGCTGTTGGCTTTTCTATTTAGATAGCCAAGAAGCAAGCACGAGCACGAGTGGCCAACCAGAAATGGGTGATATGTTGGCCCACTCTTCGGGAAATCCAAAGTCACACCAAGAAAGTGAGCAGAAATCCTAAATGCTGCTAGATGCAGACCACACCATGCAGCAATCCTAAATGCTGCTAGATGCAGACCACACCTTGCAGCAATACAAACATAACACTTAATGCAGAACCAGAATAGATAAGTTCAAGTCCATAAAAAAAAAAAAAAATCTCCACTGTCAAAAGGAACAGAGTAGAAATTTGTGCTGCTTATAACTATTAAGTTGCAAGTTCTCTCATTAGCAACTTGTGATGATCATTTGTGCATGCTTCCTGTAGTTAGATATGGCCTGCATAATAAGAAACAATAAATATTCCCTGAAGGGGACAAAGGACAAACACAAATCTCCAACAGCAGCTATGTGATTGGTGCGTGGCGCTGGTTTCATAGCTATATAATGGAAATGTGACAATGCAGTGGTGTGACCGCTTTGAACCGTGCAAACATTTTTTCTGTCGTCTGCAGGGATCAAGGAGGACCCCACACGAAGGATCATTGAGGGACAACAGGCTATCACAGCCCGCTTGGATAGGCTTGTGGAGCTGCACGAAGAGATGGTGGCTATAAAAGCTTCCAAACTTAATGTATGTTTTCAGAACGGAGAAATTGTTTCAAAATATGAATAAAAAGGCACTTGTATAGAACAGCAATACATTGTATCTTTATTACACAAAGTTTCTGGTGTCACCGCTGATCTCTACGATGATTTTCTGGATCGCTTCTTCCTCCTTGTAGCGCAGGTGAACCCACCGGAAGTTCTCAATCGGCCTCTTATGCCATGCAAAAGTCAGCCGGGTGAAGTGCCGTGAAGACTAGTGCGTACATCCATGGAAAAACCCATTTTGAGCTTCATCACCGTCATGATTGACAAGTTTCTTGATGTTCTTGGAAACTAGCCACTGCATTTCCAGTGGCTAGTTTCCAAGAATTGCTAATAAATTATAGGCTTCACAAACATGCTTTCTTGCTGCGCCTCCACAACTGCGCGCATGTCCCGGCAGCAGCTGTTGCAGCCATCTGCTATCCCGCTTACCTGCCGAGTTGTACGTTGTTGGCGGTGTACCGTATCTGCGGCAGCTTAAAGGCATTGCGACAGGTAAACTTATTTGAATATGCTATTCGTCGTAATTTACCTTCACGTATTGCAGTGTCACCGAATCCAATTATTTTGCACCGCAACCGTGGCAGGTTTCGACCAGGTTCGACAAAGCGTTGGTGAAGCAGACGACAGAGCCTGCACAAAGGGGAGGGATAAGAAAGGGGCAGCCGTTGGCTCGTCGCTCACCCGACTCAAATGCTTAAAAGTTGTTGCCGCGGTAACCTGCGCCTGCTCGCGTATGCCACATGGTCACGTGGTAGCGAGAGGAGGGGCGTATCAAAAACTCCCATTATTTGTCGCGCGCGCGGGCTTTTGGGATTTTTGAAAAGGGTCTATTGAGAACTTCCAGTGGCTTCACCCGCGAAGTGGTGATGCGTGATCCAGAAAATCGTCGGAGATCAGTGGGTGTCATCTACACCCAGTGATCGCTTTTGCGCTTTCATAAGCTTTCACTTGAATACTTCGTTAACAAGGTTTCTCCTCACAACAATGCCAGCAGGCGTGTCCCTGGCGGTGCTCGGCCTGTCTTCTTCGTCTTCTTCCTCCTCCTCCTCCTCCTCATCAGATTCCACAACTGCAAAAAAAAGTGAATTTGATGTTGGTGCTTATACGGCGTGAGTTTGATCTGCCATTAAAGGGCAACACTGGCTTACACTATAGATCCAGCAATTTAGTCAGCTCAGTAAAACTGCTTGCATGGCGTCTTCAGCGTGCACCACGCAGTAGTGATACACGACCACATGCCAGTACGAGCCTCATCCAGAAGCTCACCGTCACCCATACACAAACCATTGAAATGCAATGTTGTCGGCGTCGGTGCGAGTCCCCCAGCCCTTTTTCGCGTTCGAATTGTTTATTCTATGTACTCCTGGCGATGTCTGACTACTTGAGCGGCCTCAGAGAAATTACCGAGGCTCGTTACACCGTAAAACGTTGCGTGAATAAAGTGACATGCGGCTATTCATTCAGCGCAGACGCCACAGAATGTACGCCAAGGCCTGATTCGCATGATGAGATTTCGCTCGCAATTTTCAGTCGCGAAGTCGCTCGGGCTGCGAAAGTGTGAACCGTAGCTGAGATGGTCGACATCGATACTGAAAATCACAAGCAGAATCGAACCAAGTGAATTAGGCATAACAAGTCGGTGATGGCCACTGGTAACAATTAATCAATATCTCCTTGTATCTACTATTTACATCAAGACTGCTTACCAACCTCCAAACTCGAGTCTTTTGAGGCCTGCACTTGCTTCTTATCGCAGGTACCGGACCAATATTTGGTCTACGAGCCGGTGTAGTCTAAAAGAGCAGACGACAAGCAGAATCGTTTGAAAGAGCAGACGACAATTCGAACGATCAGGCGGCCGTTTGAACTTGAAGACGCACTGAACGTAGTTTGCAGGTGGTCCGTACAACATGACGGTTTTCAGGCATTCATGTTGGAACAAAACAAATAAATCTTATAACCAAAAGTATTCGTGAATTCAACTCAAAGTGCTACCCGCCCAAGCAATCGTGGTCCGACAGCATCTGGTTTTCCCTTTTCACGGCACATTTCCACGTTCTCGGACGAACCGAGTACATGAAAACTGACCTTTAAACCTTTCTTGACTCTTTAGGTACAACCCCGGTCGCGGCATTTTGACGAGAAGGCAGGTTTTTTTTTTCGGGTTCTTTTCAAAACAACGCAGGAATAGACGTCTCACATGGGGACTTCCGCCCACAGCTCCAGACCGGAAGTGCGCCTGGCGCGCCACCACCACACCGTGACGTAACAGCGATGAGTTTGTGTATACTCGATCAGGCTCAAAATTTAAGAATAATAACTGTTCCATCAGGCTGCACAGACTATTCAAAGAGTTCCAGCTAACAGAAGTACCTCGCAGGCCTACGAGTGTAAAAGCCGGGCTCATTTAGTAATCTGTACACTGTATGTTCGAGAAATGTGGCCCCATGGCAGCTGAAACGTCCACTGCAAAGTATCTTGCTGGCCTCCGCCTGTGCGGTCTGGCAGCTAGTGACGAAAAATGGTCTTGTTCCACCATTGTAATTCACGGACATCCTCTGCAGAGGCATTGAGAATCATTTTCATCCCACTGGAACTGCCCCCAAAGTCTAGAAAATACATTGATATCCGAGTTCGGCGAGTCTCCAGATGACTGACAATTCTGTCCTGGAAAACATCACTCATATGGGTTAAACGAGTCTTATCCATTTTATATAAAGCAGTGTCACTTTGCGAAAAAGCACAGCGTACGCACTACTCCGCAGCTACGGCCGTTTCTTTGGTAACCTGTTAAGCGTCACGTAACAAATCTTGTAACGTGGCACTTAATGGGTTACTAAACCTAAAACTACACTGCCAGTGGAGAGCTTCTAAAAGAGATTATAGTCAAAGCTGTAGTCAGCTCAGCTTAGCTGCCCCTCTGCAATCCTGTGACAAGAAAGGTGGCTGAACCTTCTGCAGAAGCCAGTAACCACAGTCCAGAGTTACAGCAAACAATGCTTTCACCAGCCTCATTCATGTGATATGACCAGGTGATTAATGCATAAACTCTTCAGAGAACATGTCTTTCTTACCTGGTGGATCTGTGAGGGAGACATAGTGCCGGGTGCAGTAATTGTGGAGGACAACACACGCCCGGAGTGTACTGCAGAACCCTTCCGGACCTGTCAAGACACCTGAAGCAGTGGCGTAGCAAGGAATTTTGTTAATTCAGTATTTACTGTTAGTGATGACTATATGAAGTTTATGCAGCCCCCAGAACCCTTTGGCACTCCTGTCTATTTACTGCTCCTCGAAGTCCCTTTTTTTATATGCGTTTTCCATTGCCTGCATTTCCAATTTGACTATACCGTAGTTCATAGTTTGTGTGATCCCACTTTCAGCGTATATGTTGTGCTGAGGTGCAATCCAAAGGCACCAAAGCCAAGAACAAGTCAGGCCCAGTAATTATGCAACTTTCACTGAACTGTCGGACGAAGAGGAGCGATCATAAGTATGGCTGTCTAACATGCTGAAGCAACACTATATGTTCTCGGATTCCAGCTAGTACTGCACGATGCTGGAAACCGAACTTCTCTTCCAAGATAGCCTTTATAGGGAGTCTGCTACAGCCAGGCACATAGCCAGGCGGGTAAAGGAGGGGAAAGGGGAGGTGCCAGCAAAACTGGAGGACTTTGAAGAGGACCCAGATCAGGCTACCTGGGCCTTCTCCCTGGATATGTGCCTAGCTCCAACTAGTTTCTTGGTCTCCAAGTGGGAACAGTGTTAACTGCACCCTTTTACCATGAGGGTAGAGAAATAAAAAAGGGACAAAAACAAAAAAAAGAACTGTTTTTGTTTTATGCCGCACATGCAGAAAGGAGAGAAGGTAGTTCTTAGGAAATTTCAGAACACGTTTTAACTCCCAAACTCAGACTCTGCTGACGCTACTGACCGGAAGCGGGACTTCAATATCCCGAATGTCCTCTCTATAACTTGACACGTCTTGGTGAGGCACATGTTCTAGGCTTCTTTGCCCTCTTCCTCCTTCGGCTTGCGAAATGGCGTCATCAGTCATGGCTGCAGGGGGTAGCCTGCCTCCCCTAAAATATTAAAAATAATATGAGATATCACGTAAAACCATGCATAAGTAATACAATAGATATGACTGCTTGGGGTTTGGGCTTGCAAACAAAGCGCTCCAGCAATACCTGAACTGGTAACCAAAGGGTTGCAAGTTCGTCTCCCAAGCTCTGCCGGTTTCGACATGAACGGGCATTTTGTTTGCTTGGATTTGTAGATCAATACTCCGAGGGGCACCTACAACTTCCAGGACGGCAGACCTGCAGCGCTCGCCCAAAATTCCCCACTACAGCTGCAATACATTTCCAGACTTGAACAGAAGGAAGCACACTACAGTAGATAACGAGAAGAGATTCATGGAAGAAAGCTGTATCGGTTTAAGCTTAATTCCTTCCTAACTTTTTAGTGGCCACACGAGTAGCACAAAGGAAATGACTGGCTTGCTTTGTCCTGGTTTAACTTATTATATATTTAACTAAGTACCTATCTAGGAGTTACACCGAAATTTGCAAGCTGGCTCAAACCTTTGCCAAGATCCAAATGCAAAAAAGGCTGGATACCAAGAGGCTACAAAGCATATGGTCGTTCAGCCTGTCAACTATTAAATACTGATATGAAATGCAAATTAAAATATACCTACCCAGCAACCAGCCATCGGGCATGCCCCCAGCCTCGAACCTCTCCGGCAAGTCGCAGTTGCGCCACATAAAACTGTCATGCGTGCTCCCCGGCCACTTCACAGTGAGCTGTGTGATTTCGTTCGACGCATTGCAGACCGCTTGCACATTCAGGGAGTCGTAGCCTTTCCTGTTTCGGCAGATGTTCTGGTCCTTCTTCGCAATCTTGAGGGCGATGTGCGTGCCGTCGATGCACCCCAGCACCTTGGGGAATCCATTGATTTCCGCAAAGCCTATAGATTAAAACAACGAAGTGTTCAACATTCTGTGAAGCAGTGGACAT